ATTTATTTATTTATTTATTTATTTATTTATTTATTTATTTATTTATTGTCTTCCTGGTATGGTGCTAAGGCTATTGAACCCAGGATTTCTAGTATGCTAGAGAAATCCTCAACCACACACCATCCTAAGTCAGTTTTAAGTTTGAAAAAAAAAATAAAGATGTCATACAGAAAATCTCTAAATAGTTCTCAGCATTTCTGTAATTTTAAACAGTAACTGAGAATTGGACTCATTTATATCTCTGGTTAAGCCGTTGGTCTGCCTTTTTGAAAGGTGTCTGGCAAGACCAGGCATACATGAAGGCTTACTTTCCACGCTTTTATATGTAACTATATGTAACTACAAATTAAAAGATATTTAATAATGATTTGATTCATGAATTACGTTGTAAGTTATATACCTGGAAACAGCTACTTTCAGCAATGGTAGCCAAGGACTCAGGCATGGTGTGAGCTAAAATAACTTTTTAAAAGACTTCTCAATGTATTCTATAAGCATAATCCATTAAGGCTTTAGACACTTGGTGGCTGACGGCATTTCCCAGCATTTCTATCCACTCACTGTGCACTGAAATACCATTAACATAAAAAAAAAAAGAATATCTACCTGCACAGACAGGACTTCAAAGAACAGCTCTCTCTCACCTGGGGGTGCCACCAGAGTCCGTCCGTTCTCCTGACACCAACCAGCTGGCCGGACATAAGGACTGCTAACATCACACCTGCAAAAACAGGAAGCTGTGTTCACACTCACAGTGTCAAGGGAAGAGTCGGTTCTGGTTTGAGCATGAAATGCCTCCCATTTGCCTACAGCTTGGGCGCCCTCCTGACAGCACTGATTTTAAAGGTCGAGGAGCCTTTCAGACACGGTGTATACCTGACAGATGTAGGACCACGGGAGTGGGCTGGGCCATTCGAGCTGACCCTTATTCCATCTGGAGGTTTCAGTTTCCTGTAACAACCACAAGCTGCTCCATCACCACGCCTTCCTCGACCCTCTCAAACACTAGGTCAAAATAATCCTTCTTCCCTCAGCTTGCTTCCATTGAGACACCACTATGGTGACAAAGTAGGAACAAGCCCACACAAAGTGATGACCACGAGGGACATCAGAACATCCCACAAGGAAGCGTACTTCATAGCTAACAAACAGTAGAAAAGACTTCAGAATCTGAGCCTTCAGAGCTGGTTACAAAACTTCTTCCTTGTGCGACTTTCTTGAAATTCGAAACTACAGAATGAGTTGGAAGGGATTAGCAGGGAACCGCTGTGGGCGACCCTCAGGGTGACTGTTTTAATAAATCCCTTCTGCGTGTTCTTGCTACTAACAAAGCCAGCTGTGAACAGGGAATTCCAGATGCGAACAGGACAGCTGAATCAGACCCAAGATAGCGAGCGGCACTTCTCTTCCTTTCACTTTTCAAAGGACCTGGGATAGTCTAAGATGCAGACAGCAACTACTCTATGTTCAAAGAAGACAGCCAGACCCCCTTCAGACACATGAAGCTTGGGAAGGGATTTTTCAGTTGTTCAGAACTCACACAGGAAATGTGACAAAATTTATTTTTGCCGCTAACTATTCCACATCTCAGGGTTTTATCCAGTAAGCCTTTTCAACTTGCGCAAAGTCAGTTTAATGGCTACCTTGGCACACATTTTCTCTCCTCCCACAGGCTTTCAAATCGTTCACCACCATTCCCCTCTGATCTTTTGTGTGGAAGGCTGCGTTCAATACCTTTTGGACCCCACCCCCATTTAAAAAAAAAAAATCAACTCCTGCTACTTCTTAAGTTTCTTTCCTCAAATGTATTTCGTTACAAGGAAATGAAATATGAGAACAAACCCTGAATGGTTTCCTTTGCTTTACCAGAGACACCACTGGGTAATTTCATATATGATGGGAAAATGTTGGGGTTGTGGGGGTTGGGGGGTGGAGGCTCTTTAATCCAACAACCCATGTGGAAGAGAGGCAGGGAAAAGTCACCTGATAAATTCTCGATGCGGGCTGTTCTGAAAGCCCTGACAGAACTGGAAGGATGAGTTCAGAATGTCAAGTGTAAATGTGTGTAAAACACATGCGTAGCCCGCTGCCTCACCAGTAATCGAAGCTGTCCTCCCGGCTGTCAAAATGCACTCGCACACGGTCTTCCACGACATCAGCAACTGTCGCCACACACACCGAGCAAGGGTTCCTCTTGTCCACAGCCTCCAGCTTCATCCCAACCTGAAACTCCTTCTGCGCTGGTCCATTCTGACACAGGCAGGCACAGAACCAAACAGGTCAACCAACAGGAGGAAACCACTGTGGGGATTTCTAGGTCATTTAAGAGCTAACAAGGTCAACACAGTATCAACACTTACTTCCCTGACTCAGAAAAAAAGCAGGCAAAGGCTCCCCCATTGATGACGAGGGCTGAGGACAGAAGCCCCCCACTGCCTTTCCACTTGAGTTATAAGACCATCTTTCCCTTATCACCTTCATTTTTCCATGTTCAGTTCTTAGAGTAATGTGAACTGATTATAAAAATCCAGTGTTTACTGAACGTAGTTGCATCAAATGAGAAAATGTATCATCTACTCCCCACAGGCTAATGAAATTTCCAAATATCACTATTTGAAGTGATAAAGATTATGCTCTTTGGCAAAAAAAAATTGTTTAATTTGATAATGGGATTCAAAAATAGTACTTTTTCAATATTTAAAGAATGTATTATTTTATGAAAAATTATAGCTACAAATACAAATTATTTAAATGCCTATTTATTTCTAGCAGAATATATAGATTATAGCTAATGTAGCTCTTCCTTTGATATGAAATAGCTATAATTAGCCAGCCTTGGAGCTTTAAAACACATACAATACCAGGGACTAGAAGATTGTTTCATCTGTCTATCTTTATTATCTACCCTGAAGCCTGATTATTTTTTTAAAAAAATTCTTTCACAGGATTCTATTTTTAAGGCAACATCATATCAGTAAAGTCCATTTTCTTAACACACAAATCTATGGAAGACACATAATAAGCCATAATAAGCATCTAACATTAATATTAAGACCAGAAAAGTGAAACCTGTAGAATTTCAATAAGAAGTATACTAGGTACAGGACCCTCAGTGTGTAGGGCCCGGCTAGGAAACCAGGCAAAGGCAGGGAGAGTTTCTAGGGAGCAGAGCCCAGTCCTGGCTTCAGCCTTGCCTTATTCTCTCCCAAATTCCCATTCACTGCTGAGTGCAGAGAATGGCTAAGCATTTAACTTTCATCCTCCACTGAAGGTTCCCTGAGTTGCTGGGATACAGAGCATGAAGACTCTGCTCTAGCCAAATCGTCGTACAGCCAAATCCTCATAGAGCATCCTTGCTTAGATACATCTGTGATACATGTGTGACAGACTTTGTCTAGAGTATTCACTAGTTTCAAAACACTAAAATTAAGTTTAAAAAAACTAACTTGTTGCAAGCAAAGAGGAAAAATATCCATCAACGATATTTTAAGAAATTTTAGCAGGCTTATTTATATTAAGTTTTCCCAATATTTAATTGCAATGCTGAATGGAAGAAACAAACTAACAAACCCAACAAACAAAAAAGCTATATGCCCAGGGGAGATTACATAATAGATTAAGTTAGGAAAGGTAAATGCGATTAAATCAGAATTAAAATATAGCAGAGTATAAAGCAAGTTTTAAGAAATTTAAGCTCAGGGGAAAATAGGATTTATAGAAAGGAAGAAAATACTCACAGAACTTCTGTTTCTGAATAGTTTCTTAGGAGCATTTTGCAACTTACAGGCCTTTAAGTAATCCATCCAAACAAATCTATCTTTTCTATAACCTAAAAAAAGAACATACTTATCAAAAACACCCACAAAATATCATCACATATATTTTAATGCATTATTATTCCTAGTTTTAACCTTCTTCTCTATAGTCAAAAAGTCCCAATCTTTATAAAATACTCAGTAAAAACGTCTGATTTTCTCATCCATGTGACCCATGTGGACGAGAATCTCAGAAAGGAAACAACGCCTATGCAGACTGGTTGGTTGGCTGGCTAGGACGTCAGTGCTGAGAGAAGGTTGAAATGTCGCGGGTTCAGAGGCTAGTTTCCTAGTGCTAGTGCAAGCGCTCTGGTACTGCCATTTTGCCCTCGCTTCTGCACCAGAACTAACACCCTGTGACTAATAGACTGAAACCTTTGGAATCTGTTAACTTTGCAGGCTACTGGCTTCCACCAACCTGAAAGCTAAGCATGCCATCAGATAGCATCTTGGGTCTAAAGAAAAGCTTCCCCTATATCACTCTAACTGCCTCTCTGATTTACTCATCAATGCATTTTAAACTTGCTTTGACTTGGGACTTTCTCTGTTTTGTAAAACTATAAAAACTTCATGAAACCACTTCCATATTGAAACAAGGTCTCTTTGGGCAACACAAGTCTGTCTTCTTGGGCCATGATCCCTCAAAATGGCAACAGAATAAATTGTCCCTTACTCCCTCTAAGGCAGTGGTTCTCAATTTGCCTGATGTGGTGACCCTTCAATAAAGTTTTTCATGTTGTGTTGACCCCCAAACCATAAAATTTCATGTTGTGTTGACCCCCAAACCATAAAATTATTATACAGTTATAAAGTTGCTACTTTATAACTGTAATTTTGCTATGGTTATGCATCCTAATGTAAATACCTGATATGCAGGATATCTGATATGCAACCACCAAAAGGCCCTCAAGCTCCAGGTTGGGAGCTGCTCCTTTAAGATGAGGGCTGTGATTTCTGCATTGACACCTGAAGTGGCGTTGGTTGTGCAGAATCACTATTTTTTGTACTGAAACTAAGTCAATGTCTTTGCAGAGTTCAAGATTATACTCACACATTAAGCTTTACTTTCCACCATGGTTCTCCAGCAGTCTCCTCAAGGTGGCATGCCAGGACATCAGCTCTGGCTTTTGCTCTTGCCTGGGGGGCTAAGACACTTTCTTATTGTGTTGATGTGTCTGGGATCCTGTGACTTCAGAGAACCTATCTCTACAACAACATCTGAAGGAATTTCCTCTGGGCTTTACTTAGTCCTTCCCTCTTCTGAAGGATACCCCCAGTGAAGCCTGAGATTTTGTATTTTCTGATTCTCAATACCCACTACAGGTCCATGCTAATGGCTCCATAGTGCCTATTGGACAGATGTTCCCACTGTCACCAGCTCTCATGAGATCCAGCAATTCAGAAGACTGACTTCAGCCCCAGGCAGATTCCAAGGGGCACCTGAGTTGATTCCTGAGAACAGAGAGACTTCACACCAAATCCAAAGATGCTGCAGTTATTCAGCTACCTAATGCCCAATCAGGAAACTATGGGCAGCAGTTGGTCATGCTAAGACCAAGGTGTCTCATAGCAAAAAAAAAAAAAAAAAAAATCAGTCTTAACTGCCTGGCTCCAGCATCTCACAGAAAACAAAGGACAGACAAAAAAACTATTTTCTATCAAAAGAAAACTGATCATGGTATTTTATAGTCTCATTCTTTCCATTATTTCCAAATTTGCAGCAAATTTAGAGTAAATCATGTTTCCTCCCTGTGCAGTATCATTGATAGAGTATGATATTTCATTTCCACCATGATTTTGAACATCAATTTCTTAGTATAAGGAATAATAAACTTTATATATGATCAGGTGCTGCCAAACAATTATATTTTTATTATATTATAATAAAAATTATATTAGGAATTTGGGAATTCCTAATCAGAATATTTGACTTAGAGCGATAATACGGGCTTTTCCTTTACAGTCATCTCCAAGGTGTTGTCATGGTCTTAGTCTCTTTGTAGATAAAACTTTCATTTGGAAAATCAATTCACACCAGGCTCCCCTGTTAATATTGCATGAAATGGTGTTAAAATAAAACTGAAATAACAAATGGCCCTTTGTCCATCTAAAAAATGTGACTCAGCTTACCCTTAGGGATATGCAGTTCATGCTTGGTCTTTTCACACCAACCCACTGGGTGAATGTCAGGGGAACCAGCATTGGTCCAAAAATCATAGCAGCTTAAATAACCATCAAAATGGAGTCTCAGCCGGTAACCACACACCTGAAACACAAAGTTCACAATTGTTCACTGTCATGTATGTAAGTGGGCTCAGAACTGACAAAACATTCCAATGTTTACTGAAAGCCATCAACATGGACAATCCATCTATCCATCCAAACATTTTTATCAGAGAGCAAATGTATATGTGATATGATATATGATTAAATTGAAATGATGATGAACAGTTATCTAGAACTTTCTGCAAAAAATATATATATCCTTCAGACATATCTAAGAATCTAGGGTCAGAATGAATGTTTTTAATTCAGTAGCTGCCAAGTATTCATTTCAGAAAACGTACCTTCTGCTGATGAGCTTGAGTCCTACCTCAAGAGAGTAGAGGCTGAGATTCAGAAAACATTAGCACATGGACCCAGCATTTTAATACAGGAAATAATGCAAATCTCAGAAATCCATCCCCTATACAGTCTGTAGATGTCTAATAGTGATTGTCATCACATAGAACATGTGACTGTGTCCTCTAATTTAGATACTTTCATTAGACATCTTTTATTGATTTAATAATGTGGTGAGTAACCATTATGTTTAAAATCCATCTATTGTTTAATCAATGACAGTTCTCTTTATATAACTTTCATAAAGTGAGTGTATTTATATGAGTGTATACTCACAGACATGGATTCATATATGGCTCTTATTAGTTCACCTAAAATATGAATAATTCCCTAACAATTGGAAACAACACCATGAGATTCTTGAATTACTACCAACTTTAGCTAAAATCAACTTTCAGCTAACTAAAAGATAAACACTAGTTCATAAAGAACTCACTAGAAAATTCATCTTAAGAACAAAATTATTAAGAAGTATATTTTATACATTATTGATTGAAATAATGGCCTGGGGCACATTTATGACAGAAAGTACTGAAATTTGTTGTTTTCTAGAAAATGCTCACCATGTAATTAGCCCCAGGAAGGACTGCCCTCTCTTACCTCAGCTACAGAAAGCACACAGAACACAGACGGACGTCTGGGATCAATGCCTTCCAGTCTCATTCCCACCTGAAAGCCATTTTCATGCTCCGGAAAGGATTGATCCTATGAGAGTTCACGATATGACATTATCCACCGAGATTTCTTCACAATTTAATATAGAACATTTTATGCCATTGATATGTGGAATCTAAAAATAACAGGAGTCATAAAAACAGAATAGAAAAGTAGCTCCCAGAATCTGGAAGGGGGATGAGGGGAAAAAGAAGCTGCTACTCAAAGGCTCAAGTCTGTACTTACACGATAGGAAAAAATGGTAAGCATTTAAAGTGACAACCTGTGTGTGATAGACATCATAGTATGACCAATAATTATATATGGTTACAATTTGTCAAATTTCTGAAGTGACAGAAATTTAAGAAAGAAATTTACCATGTAGTTTGAAAGCTGAATTTTTAAGGTATAGTATTTATATTAATTCCTTGATAACTTTATTCACGCATATAATGTATTCCTCTCTCAATTCACCCCAGGGCTGCCTCCCACCCCTTCCTAACTTCATATCCTTTCCTTCTCTTTTTAATAACCTGCCAAGTTGAATGTGTGGTGCCAATAAACTCAAGGATGTTGAGTCCCTGACTGGAATGGTTGACCTACAGGTGCCATACCCTTAGAGGAAACTCAGTCTCCTTTCTCCAGAGGCAATCAACTGTCAATAGGGCGGCAACTAGGGCTTAGGGCCTGTGCATCTGGCTTGCTCTTGTGCCATTTTCACGCCGGAACACCACTGTGACTTATCAGCTGCTGTGGGTTCATCAGTGCAGCATCCCTGTGCAATGCAGAAGTGTCCAGGAGACACTGTTTTCGTCTGGTCCTCCCCAGCCAAGGGCTCTTAGTCTTTCTGTTCCTCCTTTCAAGACAATACCTTTCCCTGGCATGGTGGGAGCGGTACAGATGTCCCATTTGTGGATGTGCTCTCTGCACATTGACAAATTGGGAGTTTCTTCATTACTTATGGTTTACTATACAAATAAACATCTCTATATGGTCTAAGAGCTACACTAACCTGTGGGTTTAGAAATAGCAACTTATATGACTGTTTGATACTACATCTACTTGGGAAAATGATAGTAATAGGTTCAGAAGCTGAATTTCTAAAATATCCTTTGAAACAGTTCATCCATGAATTTCTTATGAACCCATTCACTCATTTTGCTAACACCCACCCTTCCTTTCTATGCTTTGGACTATAATGCTTTGCTGACTATGTGGGTGATCTGTCTGTGGCTGGACAATTTACTTTGCTTGTAGTGACTTTGATATACAGAAACCTTTCGACCCAACAATATGTCCTTGTTGTGTGACTGAGGAAGGCCCTGAATTCACAATTCTACTGCTTTCATGTCCTGAATCCTGTAGGCCACTTTAAATTTTAAGAAACAAATACTATTTTTATATCACAGAAAGGAGGTTTGATATTGGAGGAGGGGGGCCCCCTTTTCTGAGAGGAAAAGGAGAGGAGAAAGGGGAAGGAGGAGGAGAGGAACTGGGAGGAGAGGAGGGAGGGACACTCTTAGGATGTAAAGTAAATAAACTGAAATAAAATAAAATAAACAAAAATAAATAAATAGTGTGGGAATTCCCGGCAAAGGGCCATTAGGGCTCATGGCCTGGGGCAGCTTCTCTGGATATGACTACAGAAAGTATATGACCTGACTTTAGAGAGTCTGCCTAGAGAGGAACTAGGAATCCATTGGCTGGCTCAGAGATGGTATGGAGGAACTGATTGATTGCCCAAAGCCATATAACCTGCCATCTCTCCCGGAACAAACAAGTCTGCAGCCTTCAGTTTGCTTTCACCCTACTCCTGCTGTCCCTGTGGTGACTCTACATCAATCACCTCCTAGCATGAACCCCCTGCCCTCACCCACAGGCTGGACCCTTGGGAGGAGGAGCAACAAAATAGTATTTCAGCAAAGTTTCAGATTACTGGGGAAACCATGGATTCAGAGCAGGATTCATGCTCATAACGTATGAGCATAATGGCAGAGCATAATTGTATGCTCATAATGGCAGCAATTATACAGAAATAAACATTTCCATTTGGCTGAAAAAAAAGAGGTAGAAAAGACATGCAAGGGGATTCAGGCCTGCCACGTGCAATAGAATAGGACTGGCTTTCCCTTTAAGGCAGCAGCTAATGTTAGGCAGAGACTGAGCAAGCATCCACAATGGTGGCAGGGACTGGGACTCGGAAGAGTACAGTCCTAGAGCAGAACCTGCCGCATCACCCCAGCCATGGCAGTCTGTTGCCCTACTTGCCATGGGCTCCAGGAGGCACACAAAAGCAGCACGCCCATCATCCCAGCAAGCTGAGCCCTGCATGACATCAAGCCAGTCTTCCTATTAGAAATCCCATGTAAAGGAATTCAGGTTTCCCCCAACCTTGTTAGTAAGCAGGGAAGTGCTTCCTGTTAGTTTTGGTGTCAAACCATTCCCAGCGGTCTAGCTGTGTGCTATAAATGAAAAGTGAGACGTGGCTATCTCCAGCCACTGTGCTTACTGGAGGATACAAGCCAACAAGACACAGGAACAAGGGGAGAACAGTGGAGGAGGGGGTGTCTGCTCCCACCTGCCACCTCTGCAACAGAGACAATATTTAAGTGTTTTAATGTAACACGTTTTTGTCTGTATTTGCTGATATACTAGTGTGTGTGTGTGTGTGTGTGTGTGTGTGTGTGTGTGTGTGTGTGTGTGTGTGATGTCTGAGTTTCTTTTCTTAGACCTTGTCTTTTGATATACTGGTTGGGGTCTGCAGAGTTTTACTCTTGTTTTGCTGTTATTATGATTTTTCTCATTGCCTTTTATTTATATACATTTTTTTTTATTCTACACACCCTCCCTTTATAATTATGGCCTTTATTTTGTATCTTTCATCATTTCCAGTTACCATTTTCTTACTTTTTTTTTTCTTTTTGGAAATCATCTTTTAAAACATTTTGGTGAATGTTGACTTCTGCCTCCACCGTTCCTGCAGTTCTTCTCAGAGCTGCACGTGGTATAACAGGTACTTGGTTGTATTTCATTTCTGAACCGAGCCCCCTGTTATTAGCTTCTGTCGCCACTGATTCACCTCTCTGCAGATGCTAAGGATCAAGGACACACTTTTCCGTGTGCTGATGCTTCAGCCTAGCTTAGGGTCAGCCCATACTGCTCAATTCTACCCACCCCAAATCAAAGTTCAAATGATACCATAACTCAAGGAAGACAGGAAATTTTGAAACCTCAAGCCAAAAAACAATATTCATGAAGTCTGGTTATTACAGGCCTGACAACCTACTCATGCATAGGCTACCTCCGACAGCTAGAGCGGAGATAAGAATAAAAGGACTGTGAACACTCTGTCGACACAGGGCCACACTTTGTGTTACACCCAGGCCCATTTCAGAGTCTACGCTGTCGATAGACTGGGAATGAAGGCAGAAGGTGCACCCTGCATATGCAGCCACGTACGCCTGTCTGGGTCTTACAAGACCTCAAGGAAAGTCAGGAGTTCCAAGCACCAATCCACTACACACTGTCAGCAGACACTAACTCCCACCAAACAGTCGAAGGAAAACTTCACCATGAATCTAGTTGGAAATATATTCAACTCCTTACTGCGACCTGATCTCCCCTGTTACGTTCTCAAAAACAAAACAAAAACAAAAACAAAAAAATAAAGGAGACATGTTAAAGGTACAGAAAACATGTTCAGTGACATTGTTGAAGGAAACTGCCCACTTCTTGGGAAATATATTGATATCCAGGTACAAAGATGTTAATGAGCGCAGGAAATTGACCAGAAAAGTTCCCTTTCATTATATATTTTAGATAAAGTGTCAACAGTAACTCATCTGTTAGTTGAGTTACTAACTAACCTGAGAAAGAATACTGAAACTGCAGAGAAAGTACCAACTCACTTATCAAGGACACCTGAATAATAGCAGGTTTGTCAACAAAAAGTGTGCAAGCAGGTGACTATAGATGTCAATTACAATGTCCTAGATTACAATATACAGAACAATTATTCTATCAATATTCTTCTCATAAAGCAGATTTCAAGTCATAAAACACGATGAAAGTTGCTGCATGTCGGTAAAGGGAACAATACACTCAGAAGACATACATTTATTGAAAATGTGTACACCAAACTTCATGAAACAAACCCTAAGTTGAACTATGAGCATAGAAGTTCTAATACAAAAACAGTGGGTGCTTGCTCTGACCAACTGATTGCCTAGCTCCAAGAAACTAATAATAACTTCACACTAAACTTTACTATAGTTAAAATGAACTTAACAGAATCTATATAATGCTCTACCCAAAATGCATTGCAGTATACTCATTCTTTTCAACTGCTCATAAAACTTTCCCCAAAATAGAACAGATTTTAGGCAAAAGCCAAGTCATTACCAAAGGGAAAAAAAGAAACAATGAAAATAATTGCTCAAAGCTCATCAGATCATAATGGAATAAAATTAGAAATCAAAAGCAAGAGAAAGGACAAAGAGTTGACAAAAATATGAGATTCAGCAATGACCTTACAATTGTTAGTGATTCATTGACGAAATCAAGGAAATGGTAATGTCCTAGGATCAAATGAAAATGAAACATGAGAACCTGTGGGTATAGCAAAAAATTATAATGACATTCACAGCCATAAGAGATCTCAAATAAGTCACTGAATGATGCATCTTAGGAGCTCATAAAAAAAGAGAGAAAATTAGAGAAAAGAAGACAAATCCCCTTGCATTAGAAGGGGAAGGGACATACTAAAGATCAGAGCAGAGATTAATGAGTTAGACTCTAAAAGAATGAGTCACAGGCTCTATGAACTGATTCTTTGAAAAGATTAATAACATTAACAAGAGAAGCCCTTAGCCAAGCTGCCCAAAACAAGGAGAGAAGTATGGTAATAAAATGTGTGTGTGTGTGTGTGTATGTGTGTGTGTGTGTGGTGAGAGAGACCAAGAAAGGGAAATAGACATCATTGAAATCTAGAGGATTGAAAAATACACACCTTAATAATTTGAATAAATGCAAATAAGTGGCTATATTTCTAG